TCACAGCAGCACTATTTACAATAGCCAAGACATGGAAGCAACCTAAGTGTCCAGTGACAGATGAACAGATAAAGAAGATGTGATGTACATATACAACGGAATACTACTCAGCCACAAAAGCAATGAAATAATGCCATTTGGAGCAACAGGGATGGATCTAGAGATTATCACATTAAGTCAAACAGAGACAAATATCATACATATCACTTACATGAAGAATCTAAAAAAAGATACAAATGAACTCATTTACAAAACAGAAACAGACTCACAACCATAGAAAGCAATCTTATGTTACAAGAGAGGAAGAAGGGGGTAATATATTAGGAGTTTGGGATTAGCAGAAACAAGCTATTGTATATAAAACAGATAACTAATAAGTCCTACTGTGTAACCCAAAACAACTCTGATCAATGTTATATGGCAGTCTAGATGGGAGGAGAGTTTAGGGGAGAATGGATACATGTATATGTATGGCTGAGTCCCTCTGCTGTCCACCCGAAACTATCACAACACTGTTAACTGGCTAATACTCCAATATAAAGTAAAGTTTAAAAAAAAAATTAAAACTTCCAAGAAAAGAAAACATATGCTGTGTACAGCTAAACCTGCACATTCTCAGGCAATGGCAACCACCAGTTAAGTCTCAACTCTGCATGGTAACTGGCAAGTTTCTACTGACATCAATTATAAGATATAATCTGACTTCCAAGAAGTTCCAAATATAAAAAGATATGTTTGAAAATTGAGAAAATAAATTCACAACCAGAACTATTTTTAGTTCCTTAAATCTCAATCACGCCTAAGTTGTAGGTTCTGAGTTCAAGATATGTGATCAAGGTGCTACTCCCCAAGTAATGAATTTTAAATGGTCTCTTCTTATTTATGAACTTACAGAGAACAATGCTGGCTATATAATTAACCATTAATGCAAAAGGACAAAGTAGAATTTGTAACATATAATGCAGAGAGTTCATGAGAAGAACATAAATGAGCTGTACATTATTCCACAGAAAAAGGCTGGAAGATTCCACACACAAAGATGAAAAATTCAAGAATTAGGATTCCTAATCTTTTCCTTTGTGCACACTTAAAGGCAACCATATTAAGAGAGAGAGAGAGAGAGAGAAAGGACAAATAAAATGGTCAAGAATATTTCCTTTCTGGGCTATTTTATTAAAGTTTGTTTACAAATTTTAAAAATGTTTCAGCTAAGGAATCTGGGTTAAAAACTGTCCAGCTCTATTCACTTGGCAGATTCATAGCACAAATGCAACTAAATAGTTGAAGCAATCATGTAATGAGCAACTTTGAATAAATGTATTCTATTTGGGAACTTTTATAGCTGTTGGTGGGAATATAAATTGCTTCAATCATTTTGGAAAGCAATTTGGTAATATATAGTGAGACCTTTAAAATTATCCATACCCATTGACTCAAGAGTCCTATTTCTGGGAATCTATTTTCAAGAAATCATCTGAAACATCCTGAGATCTTCTTCCAAGCATTATTTACCATAGTGAAAAAGGAGAAACAATCTAACATGCCCACCAACAGACAAACGATTAAAAAATTGTGGTACATCCATAAGATACAGTTATTTTAGAATATTTACCAAGAATGCCTTTTTACTTTTCCTGATGATGAGTTTTAAATTTTAAATATATACTCATTGTGAAAGAAAATTTTAAAAATAAAAATAAAAAATTGAAATTCTCTTGTTGTCTTATACTATATCCTCAATTCCTAAAGTTAACTATTCTAAAGTTTTTATGTGTAACTTCTGGAATTTTCCAGTCATATACAAATTTACCTAACAAACATTTATACATGGGTAACCCTTTGGTTTGCTTTTAACACAAGTGGGGCCATACAGTTGCTGTACAACTAGTTTCTTACACTTACTTTGGCTATCATTCCCTATCAGTACATATAGATCTACCTCATTCATTTAAAATAGATGTTTCAATATATATTAGGTCCTAGACTGATAGATATTTAAGTTGATTAGACTTCTCTGCTTACAAGCAATGCTGTAACTAACACACTGGGACATAAAATTTTATATACTAGTGTGAATATAACAGTTCCTAAGTGAAGAATTTCAGCATTTTAGGCATTCAAAGTTATTGCCAAATTACCCACCAAAAAACACTGTACCTAACAGCATCTAAAAATGCTCAAACATTTTTAAAATTTGTAAATAAAGTTTAATAAAATAGCCCAGAAAAGAAATATTATTAACCTACTCATTTGTCCTTTTTCTCTCTCTTAAATATAGTTGTCTTAAAGTGTGCACAAAGGAAAAGATTAGGAATCCTAATTCTTGGTTTTTGGTTTGAATCCTAACCCTCCTCTCTACCTCTCTAAACCAATCAAAATATTGGATACTACTAACTTTTCAATTTCTGCCAGTCTAGAAGACAAACATTTTCATTTGCATAACTATAATTATGAATAAGGTTAAACCACTTTTCTACTGCTTGGTTCTTCTTTTTCTTACACTTACTTATAAGAAACCTTGGTACAGTCAGGAAATTAGCCCTTTGTCATTTGTGTTACAATTTTTTTTTCAGTTTGTTTTTATGTTTAAACAATGCTATAGTATTTTTTTTACTGTCTAGCAAATTTCTCTATTCTTCCCATTAGGGTTTCTGAATTTTATATATGCTTCAAAGGTCCTTTCATCTCAAATATTTTAAAACATTCCTCATTTCTCTTACTCCTTTTATAGTTTCACTTTTATTCAGAGTTTTCAACAACTATAAATTAAAACATAGATATATGAGCTCACTTAGGTTGAAAAAAATAGAAAAATACTGCAAGGAAATAAAACATTGACCGTGATTATAGTTGAATGTTAGGATTATATATAATTTTCTTTTCTGTAACTTCCAAATTTTCTATAATGAACATGTATTACTTTTATAATCACAAGAAAATAACATTTCTTAAAATTATATTTTAAATTTTTCTTTAAGTTTTTGATGGAACTAGCTTCAATTCTCAACCAAGTATTATTTGAGTACCTCACCTAGAGTCTAACACTAATACTAAATCTAACACTAAGGCAGAGATTTGTTATTTCCTTTTAACTCCATTGACATGGATGACATAACAGGAGAAAATCTTAAACTGCTCAACAGGGGATAACTGAAAGCAAGAATTACTGTTCCATTTGGGAAGTTACTTTGAATAGTAATCAATAATAGTTACACCTATTAGGTACTTAGTATGTACCAAGTATTCTTCACAACATCTTTAAGAGACAGGTACTATTATTAGGTCTGTTTTACAAATTGGGAAAGTAAGGCACAGAGAGGTTAAATAAATCACTCAAACTAAGAAAGCAATTTAAAGTGGTAGGTTGAATATAAAGAGCTTGGTTCCAGAATCCCCGTTCTTAACTTCTAATCTAAAATGCTACTTTAAAGTTATTTAAAATGTTATTAAATGCTACTCAGGTGGTGTCTCTTAAAGCTGAGTCTCCAAGCTGAAATTTCCCAAATACAATGCCAGTGCACTGCCACAAGTTCTCTGAAAAGTTGGGTAATAACAACTACTTGTCACATAAGCTGTTGCTTACATTAAATTATTTAAAGAGTAAAAGCTAAAAGTAGTGAAAGACGTCATGATTTCCCTGGCCCATCATTTGTTCTCTGCCTCTGTACTTGTTAAAATCTGCTAAAATCTTCAAAAATGTGCACAGTTTTCTCCCACAAAGCTCGATGATGTGTCCACTACAACATCTTCAACATGGTACTGGCAAAAGTGAGACCATTTGGGCTACATATTTCTGGCAAGCTAACCTTTTGCTTTGTCTGAAGCTGAAAGTCAAACAAAAAGTACACAAACAAGAAACTTTTTATTCTCACGGATTAGATGGGAATGAACCCTTCTGATTCTGAGCTCTACCAGGCCTTAGTGATAATAGTTTCATGTTTCCTATTCTGACTTTGTCTTTGTCAATGTTACTGCTTCAAAAGCCCCTTCAAATACCTTATAGACAAAAATTTTTTCAACTTACTTTTGTGCTTTTTAAAAATAAAGGAGTAAAAAGTAGATGACCATAAAAATAAGGAAAGGCATATAAAGAAATTTCTATAAATCAACCTTGTCCTTTGTGAGTACCTATAAGCTTTTCTGAGTATAAATGGTCAAACTGGACCAGTATTGATAGCATCTCTGAGAAAAATCTTTTAAGTTGGCAGCAATTTTTACAAAATAGTTTGTATTATTACAAACCCAGGAAACCCAGGAAACCCAGGAGCTCTCTACAATCAAATTTTTATGTTATGACTTCTTTCTAAGGATGTACTATACAAAATTGGCCTTAATTTTCTAATCTGTAAAAATGAGAATTAAAATAATTGCTCACTATGCTATAAAAAAAATCCTAATATTCCTATTAGAAACTACTAGGACACTTAGATATTGATAGAACAAATGATTACCTTACCAAAAAAAGAAATGCTTAGTTTAACTGATGAACATAGTATGTCTGGAAGAATACAAATGTGAGTAATGGGTAGCCTATCCCTTCTCCAGTGGATCTTCCCAACCCAGGAGTCAAACTGGGGTCTCCTGTACTGCAGGTGGATTCTTTACCAGCTGAGCTTTCAGGGAAGCCCCAGTGAGTGATTAATACCTCTTAATACTATACATTGATAAATTTCAAGTAGAGGGATGTGATCCACAGGGACAAGATAGAATAACCCAAAGAGTAGAGACCTAGAAGATTACCTAAAGGTTACACAAAAAAGGCTGAACTGGCCCTTTATTACATAGACTTTTGAATCTCTCACTCTGGCCCAGCCAGTAGGAGCCACTTACTTGTCAGAAACAAAAACAGTGAATCTTAGATGAATGGTTGGTTACTCTGGCACTTTTGAGAACTTATTTTTAGAGGAAGGGAAAATGGGCAACTAAGAGAACCAAGGAAGATCACATAATGGGTCCAATATATATTTCTAGAGATGTGGAATAACAAAACTTGTACTTACAACTTGAGATTCACGAGCTTTAGGAAACATCTTGGCAACATTGAGCCCATCAATGACAACATCGAAAGGAGGACGGTATTTTACAAAGTTCTGAAATCTCTTAAGTTCCTAAAAAAAAGAAAGTCAGACAAAATAATAAGAACCTAGTAAGGTCTTTATCATAAACATACAGCTATAACTTTCATTATTGTTCTGGAAAGTCAAAATACTCATTCCTTAAAAATGTATACACACACACACATACAAAAATATGCTTTCAAAACGAAATCTGTAAAGACCTGGCCTACCAGGTGCAACTGCATGTAATTACCTGATATCTCTTACAATCTCACAGTGCTTTACACTTCACAAAGTACGTAACATGGTACTTCCACTGAGCTGTAATCAGTTACCTAGCCTGCTAAACTGACACATACAGCAGGAATGAGGAGAATAAACTGTCAAAATCTCTATGCTCTATTCGGTAAATCAAGGAAAAGTTAATCTGAGATATGCCAGTCTACCAGTGTAACCATGTTGAAGGAACAAGGCTCCATAATCTGTATTCCTCTTTTATCAAGAGGATTTGGTTACTCATGGCTATTTTGAAGAGTTGAAAATTCATTCATCATTCATTCAACAAAAATTTGTGCAGCACCTACTATGCACCTAGCAGTTACCAAAGAGAGAAAATCCCAACTTAATGGAGCTTGCATTTTAATGGGAAGAGACACACTATAAACAAGTTAATACAGGAATGGCAAAGGTGATGAGTGCTATGGGTGGAAGAAAAGTAGGAGAGGAAGTTCTACTCCTGGTAATGACGAAGCAGTCTATAAGGGACTACCAGATAACATGACATTATCTACATAAAAAGTAATTATTTGAAAGTACTAGAGAATGACCAAAAGCAAGGAGAAATTGAAGGGAACACAACATTTAAAAGAAGGTTTGATAGTTTTAAAACATGTCTGAAATATTCTTTGACACTCCTCACCCTCAAAAGTGTAGTTGCTCACTTGTGTGCGACTCTTTGCAATCCCATGGATGGTAGCTTAGCAAACTCTTCCATCCATGGAATTTTCCAGGCAAGAGTATGGGAGTAGCCTGCCATTTCCTTCTCCAGGGGAGCTTCCCGATCTGAGATATGAACCCGATCTGAGATTCGAATCTGGGTCTCCCACACTGCAGGCAGACGCTTTACCCTCTGAGCCACCAGGGTGGAGTCTAATTCCCTCCACTTGGATAGAAGCTTTTCTTTGTGACTGTGTTGAGCATGAGTGTGGCAAAAGTGACACTATGTGACTTCCAAGGCCAGTTAATAAAAGAAAATACAGCTTCCATCTGGTTCTCTCTTGGGATGCTTGCTCTTAGAAGCCAACTATTATTAAAAAGCCCAGGCAGAGGTCATGCACAGGTATTCTACTTGAAAGTCGAACTTAGTCCCAGCCAAAAGACAATATCAACTGTCAAATCAATGAGAGTGAGGGAGATTTCAAGATGACTTTAGCCTCCATTTGATTACAACAGGCTAGAAGAGCCAAGCAAAAACCACACAACTGAGTTCAGTCAAACCCTAGAACCATAGTAATAATAGGTGATTGATTCTGTTTAATGCCACTATATTTGGGGTGATTTGTTATGCATCTATGGATAACAGAAAAGAAGTGAACTGCAGCAGGACAAATTTGTCTGTATACAGCTTTTTGCCAGAGGGCACTCTAGTCAGCATAGCAGGGAGGGGCAATTGAAAATCAGAGAACTGTAGATTTATTGGTTTGAGAAATCATAATTGGTTTAAGAAGATAAGAGTTTCAGGCTGTCAGAGAGGCTGGAAACTTATAAAAAGAATATTTAAAAAGAGGGAACTGCAAAAATCTGTGTATAAATCTGCTAAATCCTTAGCTCTTGATCTATTCATGTATAGAAGAGACTCCAAGGAGCCCGGCGGGGAGGGGGTGGGGTGGGAACAGGTGAAAGACTTGAAAGATTTAAACAAAAATTTCAATTACTATCCACTGCAAAAACAGCTTCCCTGGTTGCTCAGATGGTAAAGAATCTGCCTGCAATGTGGGAGACCGGGATTTGACCCCTGGGTCAGAAGATTCCCTGGAGAACGGAACAGCAACTAACTCCAGTATTCTTGCCTGGGAAATTCCATGGACAGAAAAGCCTGGTAGGCTACAGTCCACGGAGTCAAAAAGAGTCAAACAGGACTGAGCGACTACACTTTCACTTTCAGCAAAAGCATCAGAGTTTAGAGTTTGAGTATAATCAAGTTTAACAGTCTGGCAAAGCAAAAAATCAATAACCTCTAGAGGAAGATAACAGAATCCAGAATCTTTGAATTTTACAACATGCCCCTCACAGTGGCCAATACATAATTTAAAAATTAATAAACAAGAGAGGAAATAGGAAAATGTCAAGAGAGAAGAAAGTCAAAAGAAATCGACCCAAGGTCCAGATGCTGGAGTTAGCAGGCAAGAAATTTAAAGCAGCTATTATAAATAGATTTAAGAATTTAAAGGAAAATATAGTTATAAATGAATGCAAAGAAAGGACCTAACAGAAGCGGAAGAGATTAAGAAGTAGCAAAAAAATACAGAAGAACTATACACACAAAAGGTCTGAATAACCACAATGGTGTGGTCACTCACCTAGAATCAGACATCCTGAAGTGTGAAGTCAAGTGGGCCTTAGGAAGCATTACTACGAACAAAGCTAATGAAGGTGATGGAATTCTAGCTGAACTATTTCAAATCCTAAAAGATGATGCTGTTACAGTGCTGCACTCAATATGCCAGCAAATCTGGAACACTCGGTAGTGGCCGTAGAACTGGAAAAGGTCGGTATTCACTCCAATCCCAAAGAAGGATAATGCCAAAGAATGTTCAAACTATAATACAATTGCACTCACTACACATGCTAGCAGGATAATGCTCAAAATCCTTCAAGCTAGACTTCAGCAGTACATGAACAGAGAACTTCCAGATGTACAAGCTAGATTTAGAAAAGGCAGAGGAACAACTAGACATCAATTTGCCAACATCCACTGGATCATAGAAAAAGCAAGAGAATTCCAGAAAAACATCTACTTCTGCTTCATTGACTACGCTAAAGACTTTGTGCAGATCACAACAAACTGTGGAAAATTCTTAACGAAATGGTTTAATTCTTAAAACCACCTTACCTATCTCCTGAGAAACCTGTATGCAGGTCAAGAAGCAACAGTCAGAACTGGACATGGAATAAAAAAAGGACTGGTTCAAAATTGAGAAGTGAGTTTGTCAAGGCTATATATTGTCCCCCTGCTTATTTAACTAATAGGCAGAGTATATCAGGAAAAATGCCAGGCTGGATGAATCCCAAGCTGGAATCAAGACTGCCTAGAGAAATATCAACAAGTTCAGATACGCAGATGGTTAACACTCTAATGGCAGAAAGTGAAGAGGAACTAAAGAGCCTCTTGATGAAGGGTGAAAAAGAAGAGTGAAAAGGCATGCTTTAAACAACATTCAAACAACTAAGATCACAGAATCTGGTCCCATCACTTCATGGCAAACAGATGGGGAAAAAGTGGAAACAGTGACAAATTTTATTTTCTTGGGCTCCAAAATTACTACAGATGGTGACTGCAGCCATGAATTAAAAGATTCTTACTCCTTGGAAGTAAAGCTAGGACAAACCTAGACAGCGTATTAAAAAGAAGAGAGATCGCTTTGCCAACAAAGTTCCGTATTGCCAAGGCTATGGTTTTTCCTGTAGTCATGTACAGATGTGCAAATTGGACTATAAAGAAAGCTGAGTGCCAAAGAATTGATGCTTTTGAACTGTGGTGCTACAAAAGACTCTTGAGAGTCCCTTTGACAGCAAGGAGATCAAAGCAGTCAATCCTAAAGGAAATCAATCCTAAATATTCATTGGAAGGACTGATGCTGAAGCTGAAATACTTTGGCCACCCATGCGAAGAGCTGACTCATTTGAAAAGACCCTGATTCTGGGAAAGATTGAAGGTGAAAGGAGAAGGGGGAAGCAGAGGATGAGATGGTTAGAGAACATCACTGACTCAATGGATGTGAGTATGAGCAAACTCTGGGAGATAGTGAAGGTAGGGAAGTCTAGCGTGCTGCAGTCATGGGGCTGCAGAGACTCGGATATGACTTAGCAACTGAACAAATAATTTAAACTCTAAGTGGACTAGGTTAAGAATTCATATTATAACCCCAATTCATATATTTAAAAATATAGAAAAAGTATAAATAATAAGCCAACAGAAGAATTCAATGAAATTTTTTAAAAAAACATTTGATTGACCCAAAAGAAAATAAAAGTAGGAATAGAGGAACCAAAAATTTTTTGAATAAATATAAAACAATAGCAAAATAAAATATTTAAATTTAACACTATCAAAAATGTTGTATATAAGACATGTACTTTGTTTTTTCTTCCAATTTCATTGCAATATAACTGAAATACAACACTGTATATATAAGTTTAAGGTATATGGCATGATGATTTGACTTAGATATATTATGAAATGATTACCACAGTAAGTTTAATGAACATTCATCACTGAGAATCCTTAGGGCTTACTCTCTTTTAACAACTTTTATGTATGACACACAGTAGTGTGAACTTGATAAACAGAAAATAGAAAATAAAATAGATAATAAAATAATTATATTTATAAAGTTTTACATTATATCCCTAGTACTTATCTAACTAATTGGAATTTTGTGTCTTTAGACTAACTTCATCCAATTTGTCCTCCTTCCATTTCCTGCCTTTGAAACTGCAAATCAGATCTTTTTCTTAAATTTGCTTGTTTTTGAAACATAGTTGACCACAGTAAGTGTAGACAGGTTGCAACCTGTCTACTCAGGTTACTATCTGTCACCATAGAAAGATTACACTGTTACTGATTACATTTCCCACACTGGGAAGTGTGTACCTCTTAATCTCCCTCAACCTATTCCTCTCATCCCCCACCTTCATCCCCTCTGGCAACCACCTGTTTGTTCTCTGTATCTAGGACTCTGTTTCTGTTTTGTTATGTTGGTTAATTTGTTTTTTAGATTCCACATATAAGTGAAATCATACAATATTTGTCTTTCTCTGTCTGACTTAAT